CATGAAAATAACTGTTATTTCTGCATGGCATCAACACGAGGGTTCTCGAAAAAGAATAAAAACAAGATTGTATATCCAATCCTCTCATCTGCAAAGAGACCAGTTTTTTGTGGTTTTACTTCACAATGGAAATAGATACCCATCAGTTCCTCTAGCGCATACAACTAGCATGAAAGAAAATTATGCAAATCTGGAGGTATTACTTGAAAAAAATAAAATATTCTCAATACCTATGGAATATTTGTGCTGACTTTAAAGTTGTCGCTATACTTGCTGGATTGCAAGGAGGATACACCCAGTTTTGATGTTTTTTATGTGAGTGGGACAGTCGCGCGAGAGACAAACATTACAAAGTGAAAACTTGGCCACAAAGAAAAAGCTTGACACCTGAACTTAAAAATGTTTCTCAAGAACCTCTAGTGCAAGTGACAAAATTTTTTTGCCACCAACCCATATAAAGTTGGGACTCATTAAAAACTTTGTGAAAGCTATAAACAAGGATAGTGCAGGGTTTCAATATCTCAAAACAAAATTTCCTCGAATCAGTGACACGAAATTGAAAGAAGGGATTTTTGTAGGATGAAGTTTTCAATTCGAAGTTGAACAAAGCTGAAAAGAAGCTTGGATGGCTTTTGTAAAAGTGTGTCATAATTTTCTTGGTAATACAAAAGCTGACAACTACCGACAAATCATTCAACAGCTTCTTTCTGCTTATAAAGATTTAGGATGCAATATGTCATTCAAAATTCATTTTTTGGACTCGCATATAGATTTTTTTCCGGGAAATCTTTGTGCCGTATCAGATGAGCATAGTGAAAGGTTTCATCAGGATATTAAACATATTGAAAGACGCTACAATGGAAAATGGTCAGCAGCAATACTTGCTGATTTTTGTTGATCGATTCGCCGAGAAACTTCGATGGAAACGATGAAAAGAAAAAAAACTACAAAATAATTTAAATTATATTACCATAAAAAGATTAATATACTGATATTTTTATAACTTTTGACTGTAAAATTAGCATTTTTCGCTGTAAAACTTAGAGCGTAGTCTTTTTTCACTTTTTTGTAATAGTTGTTACTTTGATAATATCGCTTTTCAATTAAATGGGCATTTGATTCAAAATCTATGTGCTGTATTTATTTGCATGTTAAATTCCGTATTTAGAGCACCAAATATAACGTTAACATGCACGAAAACAACGAGGACAAAAAAAAGAATTACTAATCTGGATATTATTATATCCAGATTAGTAATTCTTTTAATTATATATTATATAAATTTTATATAATTATTTTCAAATTATTATCGATTTTTAATATGTTAAAAGTAATAATTTTTAACCTACTTTTTTTGCCCTTTAAAGTGAAAGTTTATAATAATTTTTTATAAATAAATTTATTACCATAACTTTTAGCTCTATTTTAAAGTTCTATTTTTTATATGAATGTTTCAAGTTTTGAACGCCCCCTGTATAAGGGGACATTGTTCAATTTAAATAAAAAGTATATAAAATAAAAGAAGTATTCATAATGTATTTAGGAATAAAAAATTTGTGTTGATACATACATTTTTCGAAAAGTTATAGCAATTTAAAGTTAAAAATATATAATCGAAAAATAAAAATTTGAACACAAAAATAGCATGCTTTTAACTACGGTAGTTATTTTCACATAGAAGGTGCGTCGTCGGGACAAACTTTTTTTTTAATTTTATAGTACATGACATAAACTTTAATTTGATATATTTTTAAAGGATGCAGTATTTCCGGAACATTTTTAAAAGTTAAGTTGAAAAAGTTGAGTTTTGTAAAAAAGTTGCTATTTTAAATCCCTCCTGTGAGCAGGTTAGTTGTTAGATTTTCAACAAAAATGATATCAAATGAAACTAAAATATCTAAGGTTTTAGTATAAAAAATAAATATATGGATTCGTTAATTTTTGAATAAGTTATCGAAGTTTTAAGAAAAAAAAGACGAAATTTATCGATTTTAAAAATTGTAATTTTATTGGAGATTTCCCCCTTTTGCGGTGAACAAAGGAAAATTTTCAATTTTTAAGGGTAATGTCTTCAACTAGATAGGATTTGTGATCTTTTGACGTATTGTTGAAAGAAATCGGTTCAGTGAGAGCTGAGAAAAAGTGGCAACAGACATAAAAAAAACACATCATGGTAAAATTAATACCTTCACAAATCGTATCTAGTTCAAGACATAAACCTTAAAAATTAAAAAAAATTCCCTTGTTCTCCGTAAATGGGGAAAAATTTACAAAAAAATTACAATTTGTCAAATCGGTAAATTTTGTCATTTTATTTTACTTTTTTTTCTTAAAACTACCATAATTTTTTTAAAAATTAACAAAACAATGTAATTTTTTTTTTATTGAAACCTTAGATATTTCCCTTTAATTCGATATAATTTTTTTGAAAATCTGACCCTACTCCTGCCCTCTGGGGAATTCAAAAAAACTATTTTTACACACAAGTTTAGCTATTTCAATTTTTGAAAATGATCCGGAAATATTGACACTTTTATTTAATTTTAAATTAAAGCTTATATTATTATTTAGAATAAAGTTCATAAGACATAAGAAGTTAAACTTATTAAAATTTTTTTGTTTTTTAAAGCGAAAAAGTAACTTTAAAATATGAATTAGCTTAAATTGCCAATTTTATTAATCGACAAAAGCGACGAACAGTTGTCAAATCGGTAACATTTGTGTCTTTCACGGTTTGGGTATAAAATATAAAATTGTCTAACGATAAACATTAATACTTGACTATATGTTGACAATATAAAATATTAAACCCAACGTAAACATTTTGTAAGTTTTGCTCTTTACTATTAAAATTTGTCTGATGGATTTGACGGATGGTTTTAAAGAAATTTAAAAAAATATACAAAATTGTTGATTAAAAAATTGCTTGAAACATTAGAAAAAGAAGTTTAAATATGTTATTTAAATAGATTTACAGTGATTGATTTATCATTGACCACTAAATGTCTCCTAAAATGGTAATAATCTTGAAAATATTTTGTCTTTTTATAATTAATGTAATATTAATTTATAAGTGGTTAAATATGTTTTAAATTCGCCCTCTACCCTTTTAATATTACTAATGTAAAGTATTTAAATAACATAAAAAAAGACAACTATTTGATTAAGTAAATGACAGATTGATAACAATTTTTGAACCAGTATTTCGGATATTATTTCATATTTATACTCGGGCGAGTAGAAGTTTGCGACCGAAAATGTGTAACGATGAAATCCGATTACTAATATACCACAAGAGAACAAGTGTAGAGAACTAAAATAAAAACTAAACAATAAATTGGTAACAAATTCATTGATTATTTGGAATTCGATGGACAGATATTTGAGAAAATTAATACTAAAGTCAAACGGGCAAAGTAATAAGAGCAACATATTCAAATAATCGAAAAACAAAATTTTTCAGCTTTCATAAGTCTTTATAATTACCAAGGACAGAGTGTTAAAATCGTTCTTTATAATTACTAATACCACGTTGCCAGTTTGTCTATTTACTTATATTTTTTGTGAATTTGTCGCCGTTTTTATATCTGTTCTATCTGCAGAAAACAGTTGTTTGAATTTGACCGCCCGGTTAAGTTATTTTTCTAATTGTTATTTATTGCCCATTATAATTGTAAATAAATTGTATTTTAAAAATGTACGTTGTTTATTATGTTTATCACTTAATGATACAAATTATTCAAGCACCACTTTTACTACATTACATATATACTTATTAGTTCTTTTTTTGGCAGAAATGTTTGTTATGTTTGATAGAAGTTTTAAATTTACTTTTTATATTTTATTTGAAATTATATATATAATGTAATCAATAATAATTTAATTGGTTATGCACTGTAATAACTTTTAATTTAAATTAAAAAATATAAATAATGATTTAAAAAATTGTGAACTTAATAAATAATTTATGGAACTGTTACATAAAAATTCCGTGAAATATTACTAAAAATATTTATTATATGTATATATGCAGAGTAATTTTTTTATCATTACCCACTCAAATAGTTACAGAATAAATATAATTTAAACATTTTTTTGTTTGGTTATCTTTAGTTAAACATTATTCTTGAATTATTAAATATGTAATATTTTTTAAGTTCATCCCTTATGACATGTAAGGGTGTCAACATAGTGTTTTTAATAGGAAACACATATTTTGAATTTCATAAAATGTTTGAGCTTTTAATTTAATAGTAAATAACATTTGAATTTTTAATATAATTTTAATTGTTTATTAGATATAAACATTTAAAGTTTCAAATTTTTGAGTTAATATTCATGTATAATACACAAGGGATTACAAATAAAGGTAAATTAAAAAATAAAGCTAATTGGTTTTTTATGATGTTGCTGTCACAGTCACAGATTGTTTATCAATTATGACTATCAATAGATACACTTTTTATATTGTCAGTTAGTGTATTTATAAACTTACAACAATGTGCATTACTACCATTGAGAAGAAATACATAAAATTTAGTGACGAATTTCCTGTTAAGCGGCGGTAATCAATAACATTACCTTCAACTGCTCTCTCGCCTTCAATCAAAACCAGTTATTTTATACTTTGTTATAGACGCAACGCGGTACCATTTAGCAGTCGATTATCTGAATTTGTAAAAACATTGTTATTATTGACGGGTCATGGGACTCAATTTTTAATTTTTCCAAGTTCATTTTTACCATAGAGTTATTCTAAGATCTTTATACGTATATAATAATAAAAATATGTATTGATCGGAAATCTGTCAGAAGTTTTACATGTATAACCAATTACTTGATACGATAATCATAGTAAAAGGAGTAATAATAATTACACTTTTTAATAATTTAATTTCTGTATAATTTAATTCCTTGTATGTGGTGACACTGCATTTAGTTATGAATAAACTCCGAAGTGAACCACCTGGTTTTATCTTGTATCCTTATCATAGACATATTATCATATGTAAATACGTCAACAATCATAATTGAAAATTGAGTCTTACAACTTAATAAAAATTAAATGAAATCTATGAAATAAATATATTTTAACTTTTATGAATTAATTAATGTAAAGCTTCAATTAAAAAACTTTTAACGCAATGATTTCATCTGGGTTTAGTGGCGCTTTAAAACTCGCTGATTTAGATGATTTTATTACTCCATCATTGGTAAGAAGCATGAATTATTTTTTAGATCAATTACATTCAAATGTGTATTTGTTGATTATATTTTAAGGAATGTATAAAACCAGTCGAATTTGAAAAATCAATTGGTACAGGTGCTAAAATTAAGATTGGAACTGATGGTTCATATGAACAAGAAACTAAAGTATAGAAAACTATAAGTTAATATAACTTTTTAAAATTAGTAATTATTATTCATGACAATTTTTGATAATTTATTAGGACGGAAAAAATGAGAAATTGAAACAAGTAGAAATTTCACTAACTGACTGTTTAGCTTGCAGTGGTTGTATAACGTCTGCAGAAACTGTACTAGTCCAACAACAAAGTACTGATGAAATGATGAGAATTTTAAATAGTCAAAAAGTTAGTAAAATTTTTTAACTTTAATCCCATTTAAACTTAAAACTGAATATTTTTCTCTAAAAAAAAATTTACCTAAGTTGTAATATCTACTCTATGTCCACGTTCTTTCTTTAATTTATAAACGCACTTTACATGGATCTATAAGAGCAACACTGCTCTTTTATATGTATTACGTAACACTTGGCTAGTTGTGAGCTAAAATCTTTTTTCTTCTCCTTCCTATCACTTGCATAATACCTAAGTGAGTATTAAGCCAGTATATGTCCACAAACAGGTCAAGGGTTAAAATATACAAATAAAACGACAATGTTGTGTCATGAAAATATGTATGAAATGAGTAGGTTAAAAAAACCCACCACAGTGGGGTTGTGGCACAGTGTTGATTTGGAGAAAGCGTATGATAACTGTAAGTGTAAGAGTACCGAGAGAAATTCTAAAGTGGGCATTAATAAGAAAAGGAGTCCCGAAAAGGTACATTAATATAATACAGGATATGTATAATGGCATTTGTACTAGGGTGAAAAGTGTGGGAGGAGTAACAGAAGGTTTTCGGGTAAGTGTAGGAGTGCATCAGGGTTCTGCTTGAAGCCCTTACTTATTTTCTATACTTATGGATGAAATTACTAGAGAAATACAAGGAGAGGTGCCGTGGTGCATGTTGTTTGTTGACAATATAATGTTAATATGAGAAAATAGGGAGAAAATTAATCAAAGGCTAGAGGTGTTGAATCAGCTCTTGAAGAAAATGGTTTAAGAATAAGTAGGAGTAATACAGAGTATATAGAGTACGAGTTTGATAAAGAAGAATACAAGGTACGTGAAATGAAGGAATTAATGACAATAAGCAAGGACGTGATAAGAAAGGTGTAATGTTTTAAGTATTTAGGATCAGTTATGCAAAAAAGTGGTGGTATTGATGAGGATATAAGACACAGGATTAAGTGTGGGTGGTTGAAGTGGAGAAAAGTGTCTGGCGTCTTATGCGATAAAAGAATTCCAATGAGACTGAAAGGTAAATTCTACAAGACTGTAATGAGACTAGCTATGATGTATGGTTCAGAGTGTTGGACGGTTGATAACAAAGTAGAGCAGAGAATGAGTGTAGTAGAGATGAGAATGCTTAGATGGATGAGTGGAATGACTAGAAAAGATAGAATAAGGAACGAGCATATAAGAGGGAGTATAGGTGTAGCGTCAATTGCGGATAAGATGAGAGAAAATAGACTAAGATGGTTTGGTCATGTTATGAGAAAAGAAGAATCGGAAGCCGTAAGAACAGTTGTACAAATGAATGTTGAAGGAAGGAGAGATAGAGGAAGACCAAAAAACAGATGGAGAGATGTTAATGAATGCAATATGAGGACAGCGGATGTGAGCGTAGAGGATGTGGGAGATCATGTCAAGTGGAAGTTTAGAATAAGAGTGGCTAACCCCAAGTAGTTGGGATTAAGGCGAAAAAAAAAAGAAGAAAAGTATTCATTTTTAACCTACTAAAGTTTATAATAAAAAAAAATGAATTTATTACCATTAGTTTTATCTCAACTTACAAGTTTGTAATTTACATCATTAAATAGAAACAAATGAAATTGTTAAGATTAATATGCAGTCAGGAAATTTTATAATTACTATTTACAGTAAATTTATCAGAAAATATCTATTTTGTTTTGCATTTAACAGACCACTTAAATATAAATTATAGTAATAATTTCCTATTAACTTATTCTAATTAACTGAGCGTATTATAAAAATTGATTATAATTGTAAAAATCCATTGTTAAATTAAGGTAAAACAAAAAATCATTTTTTTATTAGATTTATAATTTATATAGCAACATTTTACAAAAAAATTTGGAATGTTATAGATTGGTAGCATACACAAATAGAGTTAAAAAATTAATAAATTACAAAGTAAAAATATTTACTTTTGTAGTTGATACATAAAATTAGCAATTTTAGCTAATTAAAATTTTAAAGTTACTTTTTGACTTTAAAAAAGCAAAAAAAATTTAAATAAATTTAACTTCTGATATTATATGAACTCTATTCTATGTCAATTAAACTATATAATATTTTGAAATTCAGTGTATTTCCCTTGAATATTCCCCTAAAATATTTTAAAATAAAATAAAATATGAAATCTAGAATTTATCTCAAAAATAGCATATTTTATTTAAAATTGCATTTTTGAATCTCCCCGTTGGCAGGTTTAGAGTTAGATTTTCAAAAAATTGATATCAAATGAAAAAAAATGTCTTATTTTTCAATGTAAAAAAAAAAATTGTAATCTGTTGATTTTTCAAAAAGTTATGGCAATTTAAGTATTAAAATAATTTTAACACAAAAACAGCATTTTTTTAACTACGGAAGCTGTTTGCACAGCTTAGTGTCGAGACAATTTTTTTTTTTTTTATATAGTACATGACATAAGCTTTAATTTGATATATTTTTAAAGGATGCAGTATTTCTGAAACATTTTCAAAAGTTAGTTTTTGTAAAAAAAGTTGCTATTTTAAATCCATCCCTGTGAGCAAGTTAAGTGTTAGATTTTCAAAAAATGATATCAAATGAATTGAAAATATCTAAGGTTTCAATATAAAAAAAAAATTATGTTGATTTGTTAATTTTTAAAAATGTTATAAGAAAAAAAAAGTGACGAAATTGACCGATTTTAAAAATTGTAATTGTTTTGGTGATTTCCCCATTTACGGGGAACAACGGAAAATTTTCAATTTTTAAGGGTATTTCTTCCACTAGATAAGATTTGTGATCTTTTGACGTATCATTAAAAGAAATCGGTCCTGTGAGAGAAAAATTGGTAACAGATACAAAAAAAACACATCATGGTAAAATTAATACCTTCTCAGCTTTGCATTGAAGCTAAAATGAATAGACTTAACCATAATGTTGATATCACTACTTTAATATGTATACTTTTTTAAAGACAAGTATTTAGAACCTGACTCTTTTTTTTGTTATGTTTTTATGAGAATATTATTTCTTCTTGTTTTCTTTAGAGTCTAGAGTGATATTATAATTTTATACATATAATTAATACAATATCAGCATTAAAATTTTAGTTTGATTGGAAGTAAGATTTGGATGCACTTAGAAATTGTTTATATGGAACTTCCTAAAGCAGTTTTAAATTTAATAAAATTGCAATTTCCAAATTTTTCCCTTTACTTACTTTGTAAACCCAACCTTAATTTTATGCCAAATCTCATATTTCTACCTACACGGGAAATATCTTATAATTTTAATGATGAATAACAATGCGAATGAGTAACAAAGGTAAAAAGATCTAAATGGCAATTTTTATAACTGTTTTATAATTTAATTAAAACTTAACTGTAATTTTTTTTAACAATTTTTGCATTTTTAAACTACATTAAAAGGATATTTTTATAATTTATTTTTAATAATAAAATAATAATTTTTTTTAACTTTCAATATTTTCAAAATTTTAAAATAGCTTTTGTTAACTACTTTAGGATAAATACTTGTTATAGGATTAAAATACATAGAGTGGTTATGTAACACGGGTGGAAACAGCTCATATTGGTGTGTATTTATAACGCCACTAACACTTCAAAACTTTAGAAAGAAAGCTGTTTAAAAAAGGTTATTTTAAAAATAAAAAAAATTTATAAAAATTAAAAACTAATTATAAAAAAAAAAATTATTTAAATAATGTCTAAGAATGAAAAAATTAAAAAAAAAAATTACAACCAAATGATAATTGTATTAAAAGTTACAAGAGTTATCAGTTAGATCTGCTCCACTCTGTATACCTAAACTTTCATTATCCTATATTAATTAGAAATCGACATATATGGGTTTGAAAACTAGATACACATATACTACATACACTTGCATTGCTTGAACTTGGCCCTGCACACTACAGTGTTTACATGTATTAAAACAGCTATTAGCTTTGATACGAAGCTGAAAATATATTTTTTATTTTAATTTAGTTGAAAAATCAATTGTTTTCTTTCAATATCTTCGATATATAAAGTATTCATTGATATTATTCAATACCCAGTTAGTATAAATAATTTATGTGTTTCTTATTTTTATTATTCTGAATTCTTATATTTATATATTTAGAATATAACGGAAAATAATCAAAAGATTATAGTAGTGTCATTGTCTATACAGTCATGTGTATCATTCGCTTTAAGCAACAATATATCTGTCCAGCAAGCTGCTTTAAAAATATGTGGTAAGATATAAATCATTATAAAAAAATTATATTTCATTTATTACCAAAAACAAATAATAAAAAAATATTATTTTAATTGAAATATTATTAATAAGGCTAGGAATTGTATACATTTAAAAATTTTATTTGAGCCACTTTGAAGATCTCATGTTTGTGCAACTTTGTCATAGGATTATATATTAGTGTAGAAATATTTTTCATTTTAAGCGAGATAATCCCCTCTAAATCCCAAAACACTGGTAAAAACACATTTATAAGCTATTTAGTTAATTAATGAAATTTTGTGCTAGCTGAGTGTTTCTGAATAAATTAACAATAAACAGATAGTAATCAATCATTATAATTTTAAAAGATGAGCAAAATTATGATCATTCAATGTTAATTTAATACTTAAATAGTTAACTTGAAATATATATTATATAGGGTAATTGATTAACTATGCCTCACGCATTTTCTCTAAAAATATTTGTATTATCATATATGTAATTATTTTATTTGTTATACATCTTTGTTGAGCTACTTGACAAAAAAATAAAGATTCCATCTTCATCCCTTTACCATCAAATCAATATCAACTTTAGTTTTTCAAAAAGCAACCCATTTTTTTTTTTTATTATTAATCTTGTTAAGCATAAAAATAAAAATCAATTTTAATCAATTCTGAACGAGATATCACTTATTTAAAGTTTAGGGGTTTAACAAATAAAACAGTAGTCTGATAAATACAGTAACATTAATATTTAGTGTACAGATAAGAACTTTTGTGTATTGTACCGCGACATAAAATATGTGCGTCTTTTATAAATCAACGTGAGTAATTCTAAACTTTAATGAATCATAGTTCGCTGATAATTAAACAAAATAAAAAAATTTGTTTACGAAAATTTTTTTGAAAACGAAATCTAATCTTATTATATAAAAAAAATAGTGTTACCATTTAAAATTGAAAGTTGATACTAATTTAAAGCATAAGGGATGATCTTAAAAGTGTAATTTTACTCACTGAGCGGCCCAAGATAGAAACATAATATTTCATAAAGAAAAAAATAGATAACTTTTATATTTTCAGAGATAATTTGTGAGACATAGTTAATCAACCATCCTGTATGTATATGACATGCCAATTTATATACAATTTATTTATTTGTATATTTTAACTTCGATACGAAGCTGAGAAGAATTAATTTTACTTAAATGTGTTTTTTTTTTTATCATTATTTTTTTTTTGTTTCTGTTACCACTTTTTCTCAGCTCTTGTCGAACTGATTTCTTTCAACGACAGCTCAAAGGATTACAAATTGTATCTAGTCGAAGACTTTACCCTCAAAAATTGAAAAGATTTCCCTCGTTCCCCGTAAATGGGGAAATATTTTTTTTTAAGAATATTCTCGCTATCTAGAATTTTTGGATTATTTATAATTATCAAAAAGTTATATTAGATAAACATATTTATTCAAAATTATTTGATTTAGTAAATAACAAAAAAAAATTTTATTTTAAAAATAATTTATACAATTGCATTCAGTGTAAAACTACAAAGACGATATTATTAGTATTCAATGGTATAATTCTATAATTTCTTATAATTCTAAATTATATTAGAACATTTTAATAATATAAGAATAATAATAAATTTTCAAGAAAATTCACATAAGTATTGAATATTCAATGCTTTCGAATAAATGATTACTTAAAAAAATAGTTATTAATAGTTCATTATTATATCGGAGTATAAATTTAATAAAAATCATTATCATTAGAATAGGGATTAATTAATTGTTTTTGCGTACGAGTATTTTTATTAGCAAAAAATTTTAATCCTAAAATATAATTTTCGTGTTGTGCAAGAATCAATAAATTGCTATCAGGTTTGTTATTAGAACTAATATCCCATTTCCAGTGTTTATCATTGTTTAAAGCAGCATAATTTCGTTTTGATTTCATTAAATGCCGACAAAATAAGAGTTGATTATAAAATTTATCCATTGAACCATTAAACCATTGACATGCATCATATTTTAAATCCTCTGAACTAATTTTTTTCAATAAATTCTCTACACAATCAAGAGGAAGAGTAGAAATATAATATTTTTTAAATGCATCGTACATTTCTTCTAAAACTTCATTAAAGTCATGTACATACAAAGATAATAATGTAATATTAATTCTAATTTTAAACAAACTAAAATCATTTTTATAATCTACATTTTTATCCAATTGTGCAAGAATATTGAAAGCTTCAAGTTTAAACAAACAAAATCTGTCTACTAATGTTAAAGCAACGCTTTCCATAACATTCAGATAGTGTGTGTAAGACTGGATAATATTAATATTATTTTTAATTCTCGGTGTAATGATATTTCCTAATTTTTTACCAATAGTATCGTTAATGGGTATAGGAACATCTATTTCATTTTTTTGTGTCCATGTCCAAGGTTTTTTACATTCTCTAGGATTGAAATACTCAGACTGCACAACATCAGGATCGTCTAATATAGTATTTTCGTTGTAACGCATTGGACAACGGGCAATATCTTTTCCTGTGTAATAATCGTGTTTTTGTAATGTCAACATTATAAATGCAGGATACGCTTTGGCGAGATTATTCAAATCGTCAATAGTAATAGATGTTTGATTTTCAATATTCTGACTCAATTTATCATTTGTATAAACAATTATAACTTTTGAAATTATGATTCTAAGTAAAACAATATGTATTTCGCTAAAAAATTTCATTTTTACCTGTTGTAGTTTAAAAAAAGATTGGCTCTTGTTGACAATTTGGTTACTATGAAATTATAAAAAAAAATCAATAACGTTTATAAAACAAAAAATGAAACTGTTAAATTTTTTATCTATTTTTAATTTTATTAATTTACATCAGAAAATAAAGCTCATAAAAGATTTCTTTTAAATATTAAAATTTGTACCTTATAAATGATCATTTATTTGCTTAAAAGTAACGACGTACTCATTGGAGTATATTTAAATCGTTATTACTTTATATTTAAATTTTTGAAGGCGTCATATTTGCTTGTTTACACAAAACACAAATAAATTATTTTTAATATATACTATTAATACAAGTCGTTATAAAATACAGGTCTATTTGAAAAATACATTTAACTGAAACTCAAATGATATTTTTTTCTTTTTAATACTCAATGAAATGAAAAAAATAGTCAATAAAATACAGTTGTAAATTTTATAGTTATTGTTTTATAGTATAAAAAAGTTATCGTTTTACTGGATAATGTAGGATATTTTCGTCTATTTATTTTATTTTAAATCAAGGAAGTTTACATTCTGACATGACTTGACTAGTGTTTTTTACATAATACTATAACATATAATTTTAAATATAATAATATAGTTAATAACAATTGAACAAATAATCTTGCACAATTATGCTGTAAATTATATATAAAAAAACGGTAGCACAGTGGGATCATGGCATTGTTAGTATAATTATAGATGATATCTGACAGTGATTAAAATCCCTATCATAAGAAACATTTTGATGAAAATCTATAGATAATGTTTCATTTTAAGAAATTAGTGGATAATTACTAAAGTAACATCAACTCATATTTCCTTTATTATTCTTGATTAGTAGTTTTTGATTTAGAAGAATAATATATTATCAAATATTCATTATAGTATTTAAATTAGTATGAGATTGATATTTAATAATTTAATAATATAATTTTTTCGGAGATTTTATAAAAATTATAAAATAGTTATTACGTTTATGGCAAACGTGTATAAAAATTGAAAGGTTGACACAAATCTTTCTAGTTAATAATTTGTTGTTAATTATGAAATAAAGGTTGTACAAGGAATTTTCATTAGAGTCAAAAATATACTATTATTGATCAATTTTTCGAAATGATTTCAGATCTGCAATTATATTTTCTCTGTCATCACATTTTGATATTAATACTAATTAGATAAAAACTATAGGATATAATTATAAGGAAAGTATTTCCGAATTGAATCATTTATTTAAACTCCAAGAGTTACGTAGAAATGATAAATATTTCTTTTGAATTGATTTACTACGATAAAAATATAATTAAAAACAAGAACAAAATGTTTTTAAATTATTACAGATTTTGATTTTTAATAAGTTAGAAATAATCAGTGAGAAGTGGTCTTTTTTAACCTACTTTATGGTCTTTTAAAGTTGATTTTTTGAATAATAATAAAGAAAAAGTTGAATTCATTACCATTACTTTTAGTTCAACTTACAAGTTTGAAATTGACATCAGTATAGAAAATTTTACGAGAATTATAAAATGTTATTGTTAAGATTAATATGAGGTCAGTAAATTTTATGACTACTATTTGCAGTAAATTTATCAGAAAAGCTCAATATTTGTTTTACATTTTTTTTTTTTTGTAATAGATCACTTAAATAGAAATCATAGTAATCATTTATAATTAACTTTTGGTGTTTAAAAAGATTCTACAATTGAAATATGCAGAACTGAATTAATTTTAATGATTTATTATAACTAAAAAAACAATAAAAAAAAAGTTGTTAAAAAAATCTGCTCAATTAAGCATATTATAAAATTTGATTATAATTGTAAAATGTTTTTGTTAAATTCAGGCGAATTTAAAAATAATTTGTTTTTTAGATTTATAATTTATATAGCAATATGTTACAAAAAATTTTGGAATATTATAGATTAGTAGTTGCACACACATAAGAAATGTCTTCACGAGGGGAGACTACAATGATGGGGTCCTTGATATTCATTAAAGTTATTTAATCTAAATGAATTGAAAATCAAATGAGTTTAAAAAATGTTTCCAACTCAAAAACTTTTGTATGGTATTTTGAAATAAAATAAAATACAAAATCGAGAATTTTGAAACAAAAATAGCATATCTTTTACCATGAAGTCCAAAGGTTAATTTTTTTCCAAATTAGAGTATATTATATAAGCTTTAATTTAAGATATATGAAAAATTGTTATTATTTCTGAAACATTTTCAAATGTTAAGTTGAAAAAGTTAATTTTTTGTGGAAAAAGTTGTCATTTTGAACCCCTTGCTGGCAGGTAAAGGGTTATATTTATAAAAAATATATACCAAATGATAGGTAAGTACCTAATATATCTATTAAAAAAAATTGTATTGTTCCATACATTTTCAAAAAAGTAATAGCAGTTTTAAGAAAAAAAAAATTGGAAAAATAACGAAAATTTGATATTTTTTAAATTGTAATTTATTTGGGGATTTTACCCATTTACGAGGAACAACTGAATTTTTTTCAATTTTTAAGGGTAATGTCTTCAACTAGATACAATTTATAATATTTTGACATATGATTTATCAAAATTAGTCCAGTGAGAGCTGAGAATTAGTAGTAACAGATACACAAAAATAAAACACATCATAGTAAAATGAATACTTTCTCAGCTTCGCATTAAAGCTAAAATTTATAAATCCATATAACTCCTAGTCCTCATTATTAATTATGGTTTTGTAAGTTTTTAATTTATTCACCACTAATTAAAAAAGCTGGGAAAGTAAATGGTATTTTATAATTTTCATAATAAAAGACAGTGTAATCAAAAATGTTTTTATTTAACAACATTTTTTATTTCTTTAATTTTTTCTTTTATTTAAAAAAGAAAATTTTCCCCCATTTTAATTTATATAAAAAATATCTTATTATATGACCTAATTAAAACTAACATTATTTGAATAGTGTTTAAGTTAAATTAGTTTTAATATATATAAGAAAAACATTAATTTGCTATTGAATAGCCTTTAAAATAAATGTATTTTTACTTAAATAACCATATTTTCTGTTACTTAAATTTTACAAAACAAAAAATTATTTTGTATATTATTAATGTACATCTACATGTATATCATACAAACTTATGAATATATCATAATTAAAATAATACATACTATGTATCTATTATTCTAATTTTGATGTAAAGTTATATATATTAGACTATAAGAATTATGATTTAAATTTTTTAATTTATAGTATGTATTATAATGTTCTAATTATTACAATTTAACTTTTTATTATTGTAGACTAATATGCTAACTTAATGTTACTGTAAAACTTAATTTTTAATTTTTTTTTTATTGAATGTTAATATTTTATTTTTTGAATAAAGTTGTATGTTTTTGTAGGATATTTTAAACAATTAGGAGCAAATCTCGTTTATGATTTAAAATTAGCAGAAGATATAGCGTTATTAGAATCTCAAGAAGAATTTATGGAAAGATATCAATCCGCTAATAATACAAAATCAAAAAATAAAATATTGCCTATGTTGGCCTCATCATGTCCTGGTAAAATAAGTACAAAACTTTTTAATTTACAATAACAATAAATGTTACGAATATTACTATAATGTATATTCTGAAAAGAATCTTATAAATTTCATAGATACAACAACTTTGACAAATTAAATATTTTTAGTAAGCAGTTAGTTAAATTAATGTATTAAAAAAACATGTATTCACTGTTAAATAGATTTGAAACAAAAATTTAAATTTCTATGTGTATTAGAAAGAGAATTGATCTATAGATATAATACTTTAGTTTTCCTTGAAAGCCAGGCCATTAAAGTGTACACACAAGTTAATTAGTTAGTTAAGTTTATAGGTTTTTGTTTATATTTTGCTCAGGGTTTTAAAAACATAATCCCAGTACTGTCTTTATTAAAATACATTCAAACAAAGTAAATTTTTATATAAAATTTTAACTATAATTAATTATTAATTATTAATGTGTGTTTAAGATTTTTCATTTTAATAAAAGTATAATTGTACAATTTTTTCTTTTTTTAATAATTGAAAAAAATACTTTTTTATTGAATGATGCTGTCATTTTATAAAGACCTTTACTGTTATCAATTTTTGTGAAATTTTTTTAGGTTGGGTATGCTATGCAGAAAAAACTCATGGACATTTTATTCTTCCATATATTAGTCGTGTAAAGTCACCTCAGCAAATCATGGGTTCATTAATTAAAGATTATATTTCAAAACTAAAAAATGTATCAAGGAAAGATATTTATCATATAACATTAATGCCATGTTTTGATAAAAAATTAGAAGCTTCAAGAGAACAATTTTTTGATGTAAATTCTCAGACAAAAGATGTTGATTGTGTAGTTACTTCCAGTAAATGTTTTCATTCTTAATAAGTGATTAAATGATAGTCTTGCTGTTTGCATAATAATGTATATACAGAGTGATCGGTTTATCATAAACCATACAATTACTCCCAAAATAAATACAATATTGGACTTACTACAATTAAGTCTTTTTAAAATTTTTTAAAAAATCAGGGAAATTTTTTATTTTAATATTCAAACCATATGTTTGCTATTCAATATAACACCTCATTTAAAGATCATCTGTATACAAATAGAAAAATGTATTAAAAATAATTCATATTATGAATTATGTAGTAAAAATATTTTTATACATAATTTTATCTAATAATTCATAATCTAATAATTTTTTTATAGTTGAAATAGATGCTCTAATGATCAAGGATAACATGAAATTTAATGATATTATTTCTGAAAAATTAGATGCAATTAGTGATTCAGATTATATTTGTAATGCTCAACTGTTATCTAATTCTGGCTCTGGTTCAGGTGGATATGCTTATCATATATTTCGTCATGCAGCCCAAAAATTATTTAATATTAATGTCGAACAAGTTTTATTCACACCTCTAAGGTAAAATAAAAAGATATATACTAGTATATTTAATTATATTATTATTTATTTAATAAATATATAAATATGGTGTCTGATAGGAATTTAGATATTAAGGAAGCAACACTTGAAATTGATGGTGTAATTGTATTGCGTTTTGCAATTGCTAATGGTTTCAGAAATATTCAAAATCTTGTTCAAAAATTAAAAAGCAAGAGATGTTATTATGATTATGTTGAAATAATGGCTTGTCCATCGGGTAAAATAATAAATTACTAATATAGAAGATAAACCAACTTATTTTTTATTTTATTTAAAAGTGAAGTGGTTTTTTCAATATGTGTATTTATTTTTATGTCTGAATGTTTATAACATGTTAATTAAATGAATCAATGGTGTTTATGAAAATTTAGTCATATTAAATTTTGTTATTTTTAATTAATTTAACCATCATTTTAGAAAGTTTTTAAGCATTTTTAATAACTCTGTTAGAACCACTAAAACTAAGCAAAAAATATGCCCACAGACTTAAAATCAAACCCAGATCTTTCAAAATCCAGGCAAGAGCTTTCCCACTATGTCTATTAAGTTGTGGTAACAATCCTATTATTGAAAAAGATTGTTACAATATCAATTTTTGATGTTTAAATTTGAATATTAAAATTTATTATTGAGTAAAAAATTGTTACATTCTAACGTTTCCTTTTTGAATTGACATAAGAAACAACAACTAAAGTATAAATTACAAATATTATTATTTTATAATTACTACTTTTATTTTTAGGGTGTCTAAATGGCGGAGCTCAAGTAAAAAAAAATGAACTTAAACTTAACAGAGAATTTATCAATGAACTAGAAACAAAATATGATGAATTACCTAAAGCTATGCCATCAGATAGTATTGATGTACAAAAATTATATACAGAATGGTTAAATGAAAATAATAAAAATAAATATTTATATACAACATATCGTGAAATTAAAAAGAATGATCAAGCATTAAGTATTAAATGGTAAATTATTATTGATGTCTCTTCAATAGTATTGAATTTAATTATTATTACTCTATTACCTTATTGTTGTACTTAGAATTATATTAAAAATACTTCAGTGAAATTTAGTGATTAATTTTGTTTTTTATCATATCCTTAATCCCTAAATTTAATTTTATCCTTTGGTTTAATTAATATTAATTTGACTAAATTTATACATTTTTCGATAAAATATCCAATCTCCAATAAATCATTACCTCCTAGGGTTAAATGAGCTGAATTAATAACAATATTTTTTTTTATTCAGGAATAATGTAAATGTGTTCAACTATAAAAAGTAAAGAAAAATGCTCGTTTATTATTATTATTTTTTGTTCAGCCCTCGAGTTTTATCATCTTATATTCAAATGTTTAATAAGAATTATATTGATGCAATTATATAAATTTAAATATTACCTACTTCAGTTTTACTGATCAAAAACTATCTTGTAATAATTAAAACTAGATAAAATTATATATTATTTAACATATATATTGGAAGAAAATAATTCTCTTTAATAACTGAAGACTAAGATAATCTATCCCCTAAAATTTTTATACGATTTCGTATATAAACATATTTAGATTTTCTTAAAAAAAAATAACATTAATTTGATAAATGGCGCCTAAAGGCATATGCCCACTTGTGGCCTTCCTTGAATATGATCATTTAGTTACACACAATAAATTTATCCGAAAGCGAAAGATTTTTGGTTTTTTATAATAATATGTCTTGTGAAATAACAACTTTAATATTGATGATTCGGTAAAAATATGGTAGCTCGACTATTCGATATTCTACAAGGATATTCATAGGACCGAAATAATTATTCCTTTAAAAATTCAGAAAATTTTCTTGTATTTTAAATCATATAATCATTTTTAGGAAAAAATAGAACTAAAAAGAATTAGCCCCCAAAAAATGTTAACCATCCTATCCTACGTACGGTGTATGTAACCATACCGAAAGTAAAATTTGTATTATTTTGGGGTTGAATTGTTGTCGATACCTGCTTCACGTTAAACAAACGTCACTTATGTCAGATTCTGTGCTATTGGCTGCATCTAAACCCAACAGCTGTTAAATATGTATATTTTAATACTGTTATATATATACAATAAAAACACTGTGTAAAAATATATGTCATCTAATATTTAAATTTTATAATATATCAAAATTCACGAAATAGTATAAGTTATTACAGGGGAGTGAAAGGGATTTATGTCAAGACAAAAATAATTATATTTAATTTTTATTTATTATATATTTATTATATATATATTATATTGATACAATTACATTTGATGTAATTGTATCAATATAATAATAAAAAGGAATCCAAGTGAAATTTTGTAAAAAAAAAAAAAATAAGAAAAGTGCAAAGCTAACAATTAAAATAACTCTTCTTTTGATTGTGTCTAAAATTACATTGATTTTTTTAAAATAAAGTGCTATTTATCGAATTCTTTAATTTGATCCTTTTAGCTCTAGGTGTTTAATTTAAAATTTTGAGACTAGAAAAATTGCCGATTAAATGTTGATTAAAGGGTATGTGTGAAACCAGAAGCAATTTTATAGGAAGTTTCCCCTAAACATTCATTAAAATTTTGATTGGTATAATGAAAAAAAAATTAACAAATTTTTAGTATATATTGTGGGTATTTTTACTCATAAAGGTAATTAGTCACTAAGTCAGCAAAATTTACCTTTAGGATTACTCATATACAGAGTGTTTAGTAAGTAAAGAAACAGGCCAATTGTTACAAACAATGAGAACAATAGTTACCTGTTTCCTTACTTACTGAACACTATATATCTCCCATGACCCAATTGAGAGAGCCATGCAAGCTATAAAAGATCAAATCTATCCCTTTGTTTAAAGTCTATAAATTTCTATTTGTTACCTTTTTAAAAGTTACAACTTTTAAGTTGTCTTTTTTTATTTAAATACCATAAATCAACAAGTATTTTCAATTGAAATAAAAATTTCAATATTATAATCAATTGTAAGTTTAATGTTTTTATTGAAAAAAAGTATGTTTAGTGTCTATTTATATGATATAAATAATACAAATATTCAAAAATTGCAAAGGTGCAAAGAAAAATGTTCTTTTTATAATTTAAAAGTTTTAATTAAATATTTATTTTAATAAAAAAGAAACTACGTTCCTCCAAATTTTCATGGGTAAAAGCTATTGCATACACTTGAGATAACTACATTTTACAATAAGCATAAAAATGTATATAAACACAAAATAACAGTGAAGTAACAATGTTTTTAAAACAAAACAATAATTTATATGAGTGACATTAAATTAATGATAATATTAAACAATAGATGATGAGTTTGTATACTTTCAACTCTGTAATTTCTCAGATATGTTTAGTAAACTTTATTATTTTTAATTTTGTTCTTTGTTAAAACTGTAAGATAATTTTATAATACCACGTATAGAAGCTTAAAATTATCAAAATTTATCTATTTTAAAACATGATTAATGACAAATTAGTCAGTATAAAAATTTTATGGAACCCTGAATACATAATGTCTTCAAATTTTTTTGGCTTAAAACTTAATTATAAAATAGTTGATAATGTAATTGATTAAGGCGACACTTAAAATAATGAAGAAAAATGACCATAATTCAGTAAGATATGACTAAAAAAAATTAATTCTTCTAAATTAATCGTTCAGGTAATAAGGGACAATATTTCAAGTCTTTTAATTTTAGTTCATAATATTTCATTAACTTTTATCACCATAAATAGAAGCTCACAGTTTTCATTTTAAAATACTAAATTATATAGTGACAATCTATATAAGTAATATTTTGTAAAGTACTAGACTAAAAATACTAACATAATTTTTATTAGGTATGATATTATTAATGCTATATTTACATAACCTATTAACTACAATTATTATAAATTAATATAATAGCTGTATACAAATTAAAATTATATTTAAAATCTATATCACGAATTGAAAAAGTAATAACATAATGAAGTTAAAATAATGGCACCAGATTTTTTTTTTTTTAAATTTACAATGCAAGTTTTTTTTATCTAATAGTCTATAAAATAAAACATTCTGTTAATTGTACTGTGTAAATAATTAAATCAAAATTGCAGCACACAAAGGTCAAAACTTAACTTGATGTAATGTATATTATTAAATAAACTTAACTTAAATCTCTAAGAGGAATGAAATGTATTATTTAAGTTATTAATAAAAAACATACAAGATTACTTTGTCCACTTTTATATAAAAAAAAACAAACAAACAAATAAATATTAATCAATTAAAAATTTGATAGGTTTGTGGATTGTCTCAAGAAGCAATTGGAAAATCAGTACACATAAATTTGTTTGAGCTGGTCCCGTAATTCAGCAGGTATTTTATAAACGTCTTGTTGTTGTTGTTTTTTATGCACAAGCCGTCGCCATTTGCCCCGTAAGTTTTTACGTAACCCTTTACGGTGCTCTCCATTTTCTTCAATGGGTACAGTACACATCATTGTGTCCTAAATAACAATTAAAATTTTATTGTTCATCATATCTAAATAAAAAAACACTGAAGTTATTGTTTCCTTGAAATGATAATTTTTTAAGCACTTATGGGTCACCTATGTATATTTATGACATTCAGTATGTTACAAAACCACAACCACTAGTCGCAACCAAGTTTAACCTTCTGCTACACACATTACATACTTACCTTGATAGTAAATATCTCCCACTGTTATTCAAATGTAACAATAGACTTGACAAATATAATTTTAAAAACAATGGATAAAATGTTTACAATTCTTTAAAATTCTCAGGAATTTTTTTTTAAAGATTTAAAAAAAGTTTAAAAGAATATTTCACTTTCAGTAAGTTAAGGAGACTAACAAAATTTAGTTTCATAAATGATATAAATATTTACCTGTTCAGAATTATACAGCCTATAGGGCGAATTGTACCCATTGGTGTTTCGAGATGCCGCATTTTTGGCTGCATACTGCCACAAGAATGGCAATGGTACGGGTGTTTCACCTACATCATTGGAAACATTTGAAATGATTGTAGCCTCTACTGGCTGGGCATGAGGTAACTGGCAATCCACAACATTGTTGTTATTATTATTGGTATTGTTGTTGATAACTGCAGTGGTAGTATTAGTAGCAGTCGTATCAGCTGTGGCTGCTGCAGCAGCGGTTTCTTCACGTTTTCTGAGTTTGCTGCGGACCAAACGGATAGTTAAAAATTTAGAACCATTGCTACCCACCATTTTTAAGCTATCCCTAAGAGTGCCTATACAATTGAAACGCGCTTTAGTCTGCTCAATGGGTACACTAGCCGGCGTTTTCGGGTAGGTTACTACACCTCCAAACGTCACAGTTTTAGCAGCACACATTTTTAACTTGTGCCTTCACAGATTTATATAATGCACGACAATTAATGCTTTCGGTCGTACCACGTTTTTTTTAAATGTTATCTATAAGTACGTATGAGTCGATATAATATAATAATGCCTTAGGTATTATTCATTACTTTATTATGTTATGTACATATTATGTTAAACGACTAGTTTCACTATCACAGCCTCGTCTCAACACAAATAAACCGAACTCGCGGAATATTCGACGTTTTTACGTAGAGAAAATGTACAAAAGAAAGAAGAAAATAATAATAATAATAGTTTAAAATATAAAAAATTTAATATAAGAACAATGTCAGTTATATAAATCGACGCGTTTAACGAGTTATTAACTGAACGGCTGGTGCATGGATTTCATCATTTTCTTGGACATCCAAAGCGGTGGCCGCTGTAATAGGTGGTCGTCCGCCGTGGACGACAACGACGACGTTACTTGACGACAACCGACGCACATTCGAAACGATAGTAAACGGACGACAAGTAGTGTTCGCTTGAGGTTCGCGCGTCGTCACTAGCGTGCGATCACTACGCGGATAAATCTCTCCAACAGCGGCGGCTGCAACAGCAAGAGACTAGAGCTGACGGCTCCGCATGAGCGACTGTGCACCAGAATCGCTACTCGATGCCGTACACAACGCCGAGCGTGCGAGAAGGGAAAATGAACGCCGCCGCCGCCGTCGTTTTACTACGATACGGCCACCGGTGGGAGAGCACCACCAAAGCCGTTGTCGCTACGTTGCCACGTTAACCGGCGAATGGTGCGGGCCCCGTATACTGACTGACAACGAGTGGGGTACACCAAACGATTCATGATTTACCGTACGCAACTACTACCCCATAGCGTGTCACGTTCATCAGCGAAAAGGGTTTGCAAAATACCCCCCTTCAGAAGCCTTGTACAACATTGTCGCCCCTCTGAACACTCAGGCAAAGCAATATTAATTCGGTGGACAAATTTTAACTACGCAAATTTACACTTTATCGGTCAGTCCGCTACAACATAAAATACTGTTATGTGGTGAATAAATACTGTTATGTGATTATTAATTTCTTATCGCAATAAGAAGGTTGTCACGGATAATAGCACAGGTTTCTATTTCTCGTCGCCATTTGGAACAGATGTTATCGTGAAAACTAAAAATATGTTTAACACGTTGACATTGAACGCACTCATTGTATCTGCAATAGTCAGAATCGCTAAGTTTTTTAATATGAATTTAATAATCGCGGCAGATAACAATGAAAACTAATCTTCCCAGAGAAGGATATTAAAACATTATGCTAATGGCGGATAATAATCAATTAAAAATAAATATTACACAACTTTCTTGGAATAGCAACCTAGTCTCGTTTATAAATTCATAAGTACAACTCGAGTGCTCTCGATGCTATTAAGTACACATATATCCGTTCATTACTCACAATCTTTGCAGAAAACCGCGATAACAGTTCATAAATTAGTCAATTAAACGAAAAAATTACTATCACGCATTGTTTTACGTCGTATTAATATCATTACTTTTTACGCCATCGAAAAGAGGTCTCAGTTAAAACACGTTTTGAAAATATATGAAAAACCAGCACATTTGGAACATGAGAATATTCAACTATTTGTGTACCGTAGTCATATAGAAGTTTTATCTCTGTGCATAAGTTATTTTCTCTGAAAATCTTTTTGGATTCTTACATGCGCCTGGGTAAAATGGAATTTTATTATTACTCTAGGAATGTGTTGTATTAAAAAATGCATGAGAGACGGACACTAGCCGCAACCAAAATATTCAACCCTTCGCCGGAAAAGACGACCAAACGAAATATGGTTTTCTGAACGCGCTTTTCCATAATCTCAGAAGAAAAGCTAAAATATCCATCGAATTTTGCAGCGTTTAGTTAAAACGTGTCGTGTTCACGGTTTATAGAGCCATTTTAAATAGAGCGACGAAATTGTGTAAAAATAAAACATTTTATTATTACACAGCGCCAATTAAACGAGAGCGATGATATTGGAAGATACAATTTTTTTTTAGGCCGAGTCGTACAAAAATAGCAACACTCGTTTGAAACTAGTGCAGTTTTGATATTTTTGTGTTGGCCTAGAAAAATATTGATATTATATTGTTGGCGTCTTCACTCGAATAACAAAAATATGGTTTGAAATGAAAAAAAAAGAAAAGAGGAAAGGTAAAATGTGTTCTGGGCAATCGTTAACGGGTAACATGTTTTAATGACTCTAATAACTTATTACTAATAAGTAATAACGCCTTCCGCGAGTTTAGACTAATAATTACAATTTTATCAATACACAAAACGAGTAACGTCCGATAACGACATTAACTTGAGATTTTGTTGACCTCTACCGAGGTCTTAAACTAGCTTAATATTAATTTAATAATATCGTTATTCGAGTACAATAATAAGATTAGGCGGCCGACATTTTTTTATTCGGGAACGTGTCGTTCAAAAAACGTCATCAACAATAGTTACGCTATCCGGTGGTAATGGTTCCAAAAGCGTGCGTTTCGTAATAATAACGACTGTTGTGCTGTTATTATTTTCCAGTGGCTACTTTCTCGGTAAAAAACGACAATACGGTTCTGTCGCCGCGCAGTCAACCTCAGTAGTACGACGTGTACTATTGCGGAGGACATCTTTGGTTAAATCATAAGGTGGCGCCGGGAAAGTGCACCGGCCGCACGGCAAGCAACGTCTACACCCGTTGCCAGCGCACACACCACGTCGAGCAAATGTGTGTTTTTGTAATTTATACGCGTTGTTATAAAACAATAATATTGTAACGGTCCGTTCTTGAAAATATTAACATTACGGATGACCTTAAATTGTTTGCATCTGACAAGAGTTGACACGGACGTTTCTTTTAAATCACTACGGCTAATATTTTGCTTGAACCGCATTAGTTTTCATTAAATACCTCTGTAGACGATAAACGCGGCTAATAGAAAACAAAAATAATTCTTTGTTCGCACGCATAATAAAGTACAACAAATCGGTTCGTTAACCCTCGAAAAGTACAGTACTACTGCGGGTTAGGTACAACAAAAATGAATTGGGTAATTACAGTGGTATATAACAAGCTACATTCTTACGACGACACTTCAACGGTGTGGTGGCCAAATAAAGGTCGTGACTTTGACCGAAGATGAGTTACAGCGGCGACAAGAAAAATCATTTCAGCGCGTTGCCACGACCGACGTTGGCGTCGCTAATGCACTGCCCAAACGAAAAATGGGTTTCCGACGCTGCACAACACAATGGCCGAGTTTAAGCCATTTCGCCGTACGCGTGTACGGAGTAAAATAATGGCGAATCGTTCGCACGGCTGTCGAGCAAAAATATATTTTTAACGGTCAGCGTTAACTCGATACCTTGTACAATAAGATCAAAGAGCTGTTTGATAGTTGTGGCGACCTATTCGGTCAATCGCAACGATAGCACGTAATCTTTAACACTGATTTGCAACATTAAATAGTTTACAGAAAACTCCATGAAGAAAAAACGACCGCATCAGTAAAAACGATATCTGACTCGTGTGCACACCGAATCTATAGCTGCTGGCTAGAATTTTAACCTGATATTTCGTCTGGCCGAGACAAAGACCGTACGTGCGGTCGATGTCATTTCATACTCGAGTCGGTTGTCGGTACCCGATAGCCATACACGTACTCTAAACACAAGCGATAATACGTATGGCACGTGGAAACGACGCGTCCTACACTGGAAGAGTCTCGAGGTCGTCGGCCGGCACGTGATTCGTCCAGAACTTTGAGGGTGTCCCTTTGTTGGCGGCGCTCGATCATCAGCCCTTCGGAAAGCCTTTACGATGCGCTTTTACACGTGCACAATTGCGTAACAGTTTTTGGCACCGCGAAATTGCGCAAGGGCGAGCCGTTATTTTTTCGAGTACATTTTAAGTCGGTTAATGGAACGGCTATCGCTAAGCGGGTCGCCCCACATAAGCGAACACGACCTGTGTCAAATACGATAAAAAATAATCCGCAAGGCTACGCACAGATTGGTTCACATTCACTAACGGGACGAACTTTTAAGACCCAGCCCGACGTGTCGTTCGTATGCATATTAAGCGTCCGTTTAGTATAATTTATTTTATGTTAGCACTTACGCGCAATATAGTCGATCCAGTCGCGTATGTTTCCCATTTCGACGAACCCGGCCAAGGTCTGCTCTAGGAAATATTCATTATATAAATTCACTATAGATTTATTGCTATGTAAACTGGCGTGGATTCTGCGTAAATGTTTACCTCGTGCCGCTCAGTCACACTTTGAGAAAACCGCAATGTGAAAACAACAACAAAATTATTATATCAATAAAACTACAATTTCACATCGAAAGGGAGAAATCGGACATTTGGACGGTTTTAATTTTACAGATTCGTTGGGTTTTTCTTGGCACTCGATCTATGTCGAGCTAATCAGAGAAACTGTCGTTTTATTATTATTATTATATTTTATAAGAGGCCGCGCCATCCGCTGGCATTAAGTTTGTGCGACTTATGCAGCAATGCGGGTTAAGGTTGATTTGTCCATTTTCGACCCAAATAACGCAATCTATTGTTTTCTCCGCACGGTAACGCGAATTTCGTTTGTTCGTAAAAATAACGCGTATTTCGTTCAAGTCAAAATCGAAACGCATTTTTACGCAATAAACGACCTAAAGGAGGAAGGAGCCTACAAGAGGAAGTGTTTGAGGATGGCTGGACAAGGTCATGGGCTAAACACCACCGGCAAGTGATATAATACCGGTGGTATCGTTAACGAGACC